CTGGGAAAGCAATCGAGGACGGCCCAAAGTCTGCACCCGCATGGAGACCCAGAAGAGGCTCCTGGCTTTGGATCCGCGCAGCACCGGCCGTTGCGCTCACTTGGGGAGTGAGTCATCAGACAGAAGATCTTCCTCTCAGTCTCTCCTCCTCTGTATATCTGCCTTTCCTCTAAAAATAAATCTTTTTTAAAAAATCACTTATTTTAAAAATCAGTTTTTTCTAAATTAGCAATATTGGTTTGTATATGATGAAAAACATTTGATATCCATCAATTCTGACAATTCTTCATATTTCCTTAAAATGTTTGCTAGTGTAATGATAGAAGATTCTATTTCAAATTGTGAGATAACTCTGCAGGCCTAGCTTTTCCCTTTTTTCCCTTTGACTTTTGCAGTGTTGGTCTTTGTATTTCACACTTGCACTGTAGATCATAATGATCCTTCCACCCCCCCCTTACTCTCACCCTCCCTACTCTTACCTACTTTAAGTTTTTGCAATGATATGATTTCCGTTTTCTTTATAATGCCAAACTTAACCTTCCACTAAATAAAGAACTCAGCAAGTGGTTAATAGGGAAAAAAATCATTGTTCCTCAAGAGTATAGATGAGGGTTATAAACAATCAAATTTCAGAATATTAATTTTGCTCGAATACATTACATTTTTGTACTCTGTATCTTAATCACCACAAAAGAAACATGATATTTAACTTTAGGGGACTGGCTTATTTTACCAAGTATAACATCCCTCTTCAAGTGGCCTATTTACTCAGTTTTTCTAGTATGAAAAAGATCTAGAAAGATATGTCATTTGTATATATGTATTATTCTAAACTTAGAATATACATAAACTTATGCTTATCAGTTTCCTGAATTATCTTCACCACCTTAAGTTTTACTTTTTAATTATTTTGTTATTCAGGATCATGTCCTTTTAGGTACATAATGTAAAAATACTTGGAGTCTATTAATACCAGATCGTTGTTTTTAACTTTGCTATCAAATGATTTGAGCATTGTAATGCATTCTGGGAACCAGAAATGGCCATTGACCTTTAATTCTCTCCTTATCCAGCTCAGCTTCCTTTCAGACACTCATAATCATGTGACTTGTAATTTTAGAAATTACCCCTCCACCTTATCTTCATCCTCTTCTTTATCTGATCCTTTTAAATGCTTTCACTGAAATCTAGCTTCATGCTTTTTGTGTCAAGAGCAATCAGCTTGTTTTTTTGCTTCTTACTACTGACTGATGTTATACCATCATTCGCTCTGCAGTCTGGGCCATCTGATTAGGTCATCATTGGCTGTGATGCCTCCATCTTCCTGGGTGAATCAGCACTTTCCCCATTCTTTGCCAGTCTCCTGAGATATACGATCTTTTTCAAAGCCTAAGTGGATAACCCATCCAATGTCTCAGTTCACTTGTTTTTCAATCTCTAAGCCCTCCTATCTGTTAGAGCCACTCAGTAGGGTGAACACACCATGGAACATCTCTTAACACTGGACCCCATTCTTCCTGACTAGTGTCTTGCCATTTCCCTTCCGTATCTGAAATCCATCCTTTTATCTGTTCTCCACTTTTATCCTAATCCTTCATCACCTTTCCTCTGATCTCCCCTTTGTGTTCTCCTGTTCTCAAATCCATTGACTCAGTCCTTGACTTTTTGCTGTGATAAACTTGCTCACCCAGCACAGTTAAGTTCTTTGTGGTAGTTCCCATGCTTTATGGTTAAAAGTATTGATGAAAAACCTTAGTTATCTGAACCTTTTATAGTAGCATCCATTTTTTCTGTTGGATTGTTTGCATTTTAAAGGCAAGAAACTGCCAGTTGTACGTTGTCTACCATCAACTGCATGACTAACTAGCTCTCTCTGCATGTCACTGTTTTTTAATCAACCTTCTATTTATGTGTTCAAATGTTTCTCATATTGCAAATGCTAAAAGCTAACATTCCTTCCCAGATCACCTTGCCTTTTGCTGTTCTAAGGGGAAAAATATTTATTCTACTGAATTTTCTCTGCATCAGGAACCATTATTCACCATGTCCCTATTTATTTTTTTAGACAAAAAGATTAGGAAATACGTTATCTGTGCATCTCTCCACAAGTTTTTCTTCAATTATCTTTTCTATTGATTTAGCTTCTGCTGCATATTGCACAGGACCCCACCTCACCCCCCCCCCATGACATTGCACCACAACAAAGTGCTTGAATGACATGAATTCAACACTCGTTTACTTTAACACTTTCTGGAAACCTGTGAGCCAGGCTTCTTGCTAAGCAATGTGGCTAACCTTGAATAAGTTATAGTCTGTCTCCAGAGAGAAATAAATATATAAACAAATGCCATGAGCATGATCAGGAATGCAAGGATGCAGAGAGCTTTCTCCCTAAGTGCCTAAGGTACTTAATCTGACAGTATAAAGCATGAGACTCCATTGAAGTCTTGAAGGATGAATTGAAAGTTTTATGACCATGACCATGGAAGTAGACTCTATATAAAGTATATATACATACAAAAATAGGAAAATAGGAAATTGAACCCCTTAATTAGAGAGTTCTAAATATTTTGGAATTACCAAACTAAAAGACTGAAGTGAGGATAAAAAAAAAATACAAGGATAGGAGATAGAGTTAAATAATAAAAGAGCTTTTCTGGATTAAAAAAGTGTGGATGTTTTCTTTGGACAATACACAGGTTTACTTTTACTTTTTAAAAGATTAAGGTGCTTCATCAAGAATTGTTGGTGCTAAAACTAATAACTGATATTATACTTGTATGATCTGTAAATGAGGTTTTTATTTATTGCCAAAGAGAAAATAAGTTAACAGCAGAGAGGTCGGTAGTATTCGGCCAGTGAAGGCAGTGCTTGGGACTGTTAACATCTCAGATGGGCTGCCTGGTTTGCCTCTCATCCAGGTTTCTCTTAATGGGCACTCTGGGCGGGGACAGGAGACGATGGTTTAGGCACTTTACCTCATGCCCCGACATCAGAAACCCTGACAGAGTTCCCGGATTCTGGGTTCAGCCTGGCCCCATCTGAATTTTCAGGCATTTGAGGAGAGTGAACCAGCAGATGGAAGACCAGTCTCTTATTTGCTAGCTCACTTGTTTCTGTGTGTGTGTGTGTGTGTGTGTGTGTGTGTGTGTGACTCTTTCAGACTTTATTTTTAAATTGGAAAAACCCTATACCATTGGACACCACCTTGACAGTTGAGTGAAGTTAACAGCACAATAATGAGACAAATGATTGGACATGATAAGGTTCCTAACATAATTAGTATAATGCACTAAGAAAAAGGCAGCAGTGTCACTTCTGTGGTGTTCCTCCCAAAGGCATGACATCAGTTTGATCATAGCAAATCTGAGGAACGTTCTATAAGACCTCTTGTCTGAGCCTTTGAAAAAGGTGAATATGAAAGACAAAGGAAAGAGAAGATTAAAGGAGTTTAGGAACACAGGAAATCCATATATATAATGCATAGTCTTTTTCTCATAAAGGACATTGTTATGACTGCTGAAATATGAATAAGATCTGAAAATTACATGATAGTATTTTATCAATATTCAGTTGTATGATTTTTATATTGTGATTGCACTTGAAAACTTTCTTTTTGAAGAATGTGCTTATTGAAGTATTAAGAGGTAAAAGAGCATCATTTTTTAAATTTATGTATAAAGCGTCAATATTCATAGCAACACTATTCACAATGGCCCAAAGGTAGAAGCCACATGAATGCCCACTAACAGGTGAATGAAGAAGTAGACTGTGAAACATGCATGTGTTTGACTCTTAATCTGTTTTACAAAGGAAGAACATTTCAACATATTACAGTATGAATGAACCTGATGATTTATCTTAAGTGAAACCAGTCACAGAAGGACAAATATTGCATATATCTACTCAGATGGGTTAGCTAGGGTGCAGATGTCAAATTCATGGAACTTGAATAATTGCCAGAGACTAGGGCATTCAACATCTTTTTAAATGATATAGCTTGTCTCTTGGGGAGGATGGAAAGTTCCAGAGAGTGATCATTGTGATGGTTACATGGCAATGTAGATGTGCTTTATGCCAAAGAAACATACACTTAAAATTAGGTTGAAATGATCAATTTTATGTTATATATGTTTTACTACAACTTTAAAAATAAAGATAACTCATAAAGAGGTGGAAATGAAAAAGTGTAAAATGACCATCTTCCAAAGGTGCAGTTGGAGGTAATAATGGAGGCAGAGGAGCCAGCTGAAACGCTGCTGTAATAACTCACTGAGGTTATGGAGATAGAGACAAAGGACGGAGCTGAGACCGATACAGTGGCACAGCTTAGGGACTGACAGGATAATATTTCCTTTTAACCATTATGTTAGGTAGTGATACTATGAATGCCAAAACAATAGAATCAAATATTCAGGCTGTCATCTTTGCGCATTCACTTGCCTTATAACTTGGCTCAAATGTGACCTCTATTGGAGAAGTCCCCACTGATTCTGCATGGTCCCTTTTTCCTTTACCAGTGACCTCTTTGTGACCCAGAATTACTCTTTGTGCCTTCCTAAATTTTGTGGTGATATCTTTTGCATTTCCATCACAATTTTTCAAAATAGATAGTATATCTATTTCCACCCTACACTGATAGCAGTCATGTTTATGAATGGCATCTTTTATAGAATGTGGCATTAATAGGTGATCACTGTAAGGATTAAATCAATGTTATGAAGAGGTGAAGCTCACCAAAAAATCAAAATCCTGAGATATAGTTTCTGCTGATCTTTGTTGATGAAATGTCTCTCCTGTAAGCAACAAATAGATGGGCTTTGGTTTTTAATCCAATCTACTAATCTACAATATTTGATTGATGAGTTTAAGCCATTTACATTCAGGGTTAATATGAATGGATGGTAATTTGGTCCTGTCATTTTAGCAATGGGTTATTCATTGATTTAGTCTTCTGTGCTGCATGTGTTTTTAAAACTTTCTTTTTATCCTCTCTGTAGGTTGTATATAAAGTCAGATGTGCCACCGAACTTGACAGACACAAGTAAGTTTTATGAGTACTTGAAGGTTTATTCAAAGTATTCAGACTATTAGTTCATTAGCATTAATGCCTAGCATCTAAATACATCTAATTTTTTAATAATTGACTTTTTAGAGTAGAGGAGAGTGGGTTTTTAGGGTGCCTTAGCAATTTACAGAAAATCAAGTATTAGAAATTGAATAGCCCACAGTTCTCTCACTTCAACCATATTGCTGACCAGTACCTTTGTAAAATAGGTAAAACCTATCATTACTATTTTTTAAATTATAGTAGTAGTAGTATTTGTTTTTAAAAAGTCAGTAGCACAGACTTAAGTATTTAAGTTGAGAGTATAAAACATGCTTGGACTAGGATTCCTTTTCACAGACAACTTTTACCATGACTTGATGCTAACATCCACATTGGACCTGAAATGTTTTTATGAGACAGTCTGACTTTTCTTACAGGGGTTAGGCTAAGCATTTTGCAAACAGAGTTGATCTGGATGTCATAAATATGCCATTTCATAGACACTGGGAGATTAATGAGTGCTTGAAACATCCTGTATTGTTCTCCAGTCAAGTTTGAAAGCAGTGTTTGGTATGGAGAATCAGAAGTTCGTAAGACTGAACATTGTTTAAGCCAGTTCTCTTACCTCTTACAACTAACATTATGTGGTAAATTTGATTTGGTGTATTACTTTTCCAAGAGAATTGTAAAAGCCTGATAATTCTCTGATTGGAGAGGTCAATGAAGATAGCTTGATAGTTATAAAAATGAAAAATTGAAATGATGTTAGAAATGGCCCTATATTACTCTTCCTGGTAGGTCCAACTGAATTCAAATTCACATGAGATTATTTCTGAATTAATACTTAAAAATCTATGCCATTTCATAATGGTTTGGATACTAATTACATAGCAGTAAATATAACCCAAGTAATTCTGAGCGAGTGTTAAATTTGTACTTAATGAAATTAAAAATTTTAAAGTAAAGGGACTTTTATACCTGAAATTAACATACTAATTCAGAATTAAATTTCTCACTAGTTGTAATTATATTAGTTTCATAAGCACTTAATGCATCTTTCTCTTTCTTTCAGAATTCTCCTGCATTTGGGCTTTATATTGGCAAGCCTTCTCTTTTTAGTGGTGAACTTGACTTGTGCGATGCTAGTTCATGGAGATGTCCCAGAAAATCAATTGAAATGGACTGTGTTTGTTCGAGCATTAATTAATGATAGCTTATTTATTATTTGTGCCATCTCTTTAGTTAGTTACATATGCAAAATTACAAAAATGTCATCAGCAAATGTCTACCTCGAATCCAAGGTAAGTTTATTTCTTAAATTTGAAAATCTAATTTCACATCATTAACATTGAATGATACTTCAATGGCAAGTTTATATTGCTATTCTGTTGTACTTTTAGAAAGAAACCAAATGACAGGTGCAATTTTAAACATGAAATAATAGTTTGTAAAAATTTAAAAGCCTCCAAAATTTGGTCATTACTAAACAGTGCTTTAAGAAAAAGGAGTAATCATTTGGCCTTCACCTACAGCCTTATCAAGTCCCTGCTTCCCCTGAGTCCAGCTTCCTGTAATGCAGATCCTGTGAAGCAGCAAGAAGTGGACCAAGGAGTTAGCTCTGTCACTCGTTTAAATGACCCAGATTGAGTTCCGCATCCTGGCTTCTGCCTGGCCCAGACCCAGGCGTTGCAGTGCTTGGGAGCTTGTACACGCTCTTCCTTTTCCTCTTCTTGTTAAATCACATAAATCTTTCAACTTTAAATAAAAAATATTCAAAAGAAAATTAATTATACTTTAAGAATGTTATGTTTTTCTATGACACTGTGCTGGAGGCTACTTAGATGACATAAACACTAATTTATATAAATAGCTTAATATGTTTTGTGAAATCACATTAACAGCTTAAGATTTGATTCAATAAGGGTTGTAGTATTGCCATTCAAAAATTTACCAGATGATATTTACATATGGGCAAGTAGTATTAAGATGTCACATATTTAGCATCATGTTTATTTGTATAAAGATTTAGAATAGGTTACTTTGCCTTAATCTATGAAGTTTGTGTGATATTTGAGATGGCTAGCCACATAGCTAAATTTATGAATGTTTTGCTTCTCCCATCCCTTATCCTTTTGATCAATGATAACTCAAATGCTAATAGAGAATCAGGCAAGTTTCTACTCTTGTTGATTGACAATGTGGTTTGAGCAATGACTTGGTTAAAAAAGTGTATATGGGCCATTAGCAACGGGAATGTAGATATGTGAATATTGGGGTATCGGTTTGTACATACACAGATTTTTGCAGCCACTTATCTGGGAAAGCTGGATTTAATTTAGTGTCTGCATATTCACTGGAGAGAAGGAAGACAGTATTTTAAATAGTATCTCACCTTCAGCTTCTACTTCTGTGTTTCTAATTTGTCCTGTTAACATTCTTTCATTGAATTAGACTTCAGTTTGGAGTATTCTGATGTTTCTATATTCCTTGTTTTGTGAGGCTAACTTCAGCTAAATTCTTTGTTTAAGAATTTTCTTCTATCCATTGTCCTCCATTTGAGCAACTTAACAGAAAAGGGAACCCGGGGAGTCCATCAGTACCTGTTGTATACCAGGAACTGTTGGTTGCTTTTTGCGTTATCTCACAGCAGTTCTCTGCAGCAATTTGTGATACTAGGATAGCAGTAACACACGTTTGCAGTTGTTTTTGTTTCTAGAACGTAGTTCCTAAAACTCTTGGAAATTCACATTTTGTAGACTAGTAAAATAATAGGTAGCTGGGGTCCCCTAGATAACTTCAGGTCACCAAAAAGACCCCAGGCATGATTACGAAGGGTTGGAACTTTCAGTTTCATCCATCTCCATAGTGTGGAGGAGGGAGAGGCAAAGGTTGAGCTTCCCCATCAATGTCCAGTCATGCCTATATAAGAAAGCCTGCTTGAAGACCCTAAAGGTTGGATTTTAGGGCATTTCCAGATTGCTGTACTTGAGGAGGTGGAAGCTGCACAGCCTTGTACCCTATACTTTGCCCTATGTATAACTCTACAACTGGTGTTCATCAGCATCCTCTGTAATATCCTTTGTGGTCAACGAAATGACTGATAACCTCCTACATTGTTGGGAGACACCACAGTGGCAGTGTGATGGACCTGTGAAAATTCATGAAAGATACTCATTGTAAGAAAGGAGGGAAGAACAGAGGGGAGGGGAGGTAACTTCCAGAGGGGGAAAAAGAGACCCCAGTGCCTATGAAACTATATCATGAGACAATAAAAACAAATAGTAAAACAGACAAAAAATATATCCTTTGTAGTAAACTAGAGGCATTGCCCTAATCTCAGCTGCTTAGGTTAATCCAAGGAAAGTTAGCCTGATGTTAGGCCGCTTAGTCAAAACTTTGTGTCAGCCTAGTACTTAACAGTTGGCATTCAAAGAGGTCAACTGTCTAGACAGCCATCGAACATTACATTCAAGTAGAATTAAATTGCAGGACATTCCATTGGTGTCCACTGAAGAAATCCTAACATGTTGTAGTGATCAGCAGTGAAGTACTGGTTTGTGTGAAGTACTGGTTTGGTGAGTGGCATGTAAGAACAGAGAATAGGAAGACTGCTTTCTTCCCACTGAAGTGGTCCTGTTCCTAAGGGAGTTAAGGGTAGAGCTTAAGGCAGGTGCAGTGCCTATAAGGCCTATATGACCTGCCCTCCATCTATCTTTCTTACTTCTTACCCCTGCAGGTCTCTTTTTCCTCTTCCAGGCACATGGAATTTTTGCCCTCCACTTCCTCACCACAAACACAAACTAAATTTGTTCCAGTGATATAGGCTTTTGTATATTTTTCCCTCTGCCTAAATTATGCTTCCTATGTATGTGATGGCTTCTCTGCATTCAGGCCTTAACTCAGAAATCATTTTTTCATTCACTCAGCTAACATTCTATCCCTTTCAGACACTGTGTCTGTCCTCTCCTTTACTATTTCATAACATTCATCAGGAACCAAAATTATTCCTTTGCACACTTATTTTCTCCTCCCTTCTAAACTGAAAATGGGAAGTAATTCCCTTGTTGACCTTGTTCATTTTTCTATCTGCTTTGCTTAAAACGGGTGGGGAAATGTTTTCTGCCAAGTGCCCTTTGAATATTTATAACATCATCCAGAGGCTACACAACATTATCAACTGTAAAGTTAGCCTGCTATAGATTTTTCTGGATTTTGAACCCAGTTGCCTTGGCAAGGCCAGACAAAATAATTTTGCGGGTCTTATATGGCCAGCTGACAAGGCATTGCTCACCTCCAGTTTAAAATAATGGCTGGCACACAGTGGGTGTTCAATAACTCTTTCTTGAATAAATATACTCCATGTTTGCACAGTTTTCTCCAGAGCAGCTTTATATTAGCAACTACAGAGTCTCTCAGACTTTTCCTCTAAGGGTTCAGAAATCTAGTCAGCTGAAAGCAACTGAAAAGAAAAAAAAAAACAAACACTTCTTCACCAGATTCCCAAGGCAACCAGAGCCAAGGGAAAGACCTTTAAGAAGTATCTTGTTTCTGGCTGGCTCAGCTGCTCAGGTCTGTGACTTTCCTAGCTACAGCTTCTAGAGGAACAGAACAGTTTTGGAATACCTGCGGACCATGTCAGAACTACAGGGCTAAGAGAATTTCTGCCTTACCCACTGAAGGTTTACGTCTTTAAATCCACTGAAATAAACAGGCAGTAGACAATTCAGCAGGAGAAAATGCATACAGAATTATCAACTTGCGTATGTGCATAGGAATCGGGTAAAAACGAACGGCCAGCTGGTTGAGCCTTAAATACCTTCTTCAGAGGAGGAAGTGAGGGGTGTAGGTAATTTTAGAGTAGTAGTAAGTGACTTTTAGAGGAAATGCAGTGGACCCAGAGAACAGACGAAACTGCCGGATTCTGGTAGTTGATTTCCAGTCTCTTTTCAGGTGGTTAGCCCTGCCTATTGAGTGAGATTTCATGATCCTTGCACTCTTTCTGGGAAGGGGAAAAGCCTTTCCCTACACATGAGGAAAAGAGAATCAAAGAGATGAGGCCGGGTTGGAAACTGTCAGAGCCCTTAGCTCTAAGTCTGCGTCTCCAAGTCGGCATGTCAAAGGTCCACACTTCGGAGTGTATGGGTTGGTGATGAGCCCCAACAAAATTACATGAGCTTTCTCAACTGAGTTGTTTGAAGAGCACATGGAACCAACTAATATTCCATAGTTGAAGCTGATTCTCAGATCTGCGCACGGGTCTCTGCTGGTAGCCAGTGTCTGTATAACAAGGCATGGGCTCCACTGACATCATCCTGTTTTACTCATCATCTTTTAGGTGCGGAGCTATATATAGCTTCACTTTGCTTCTATGATTATTAATGCCATTATTCTACATCAGTTCTTACTAGATTTTGCTGTATTGTTCTTAAAAATAAAAAAAACACTCTGGTATTACCATCAGTCTACAGCTATCACAGATTGCCTCTGCTTCATCAGTATTTGAATTCACTTTTTATTTGCTCTCAAAATTTTCATTGATACACATTATAAGCCTTAATTTACATTGTTTTGATATGCAAAGACATTTGCATAAAGAAATTTGCTGTCCACATTTCTGGATGTAGAAACTATTTCCCAATGACTTCTAGAACAGAACAAGTACATATTCTTTATATATCTGGAATATATTTTCCATTTATGTGAAAATGTTAACAGTGATAAAATTTTATTAAGAATTCCTGTTTTTCATTCTTAAGCCCAGATTGAACAAGGAAGCAGGAAATTGGTGCTTTCCTGATTGCAACCATGGGTATACAGCCTCTACTAGTGATGGAGTACTGGGCACTTCAGATGATCTTTCAGAAACTCTAAATATAAAGAATAAGAACCTTCAGTATATAGAATTAGGATTCTGGTACATTATGATTTGGATGTTGAATGTCTCCGAAGACCTAGAGGCTGGAATGATGCTGTTGGGAGGTAGTGGGAATGGTTAGGGTCAGGGTTATGATGGTGGAGCTTACTGGGAGGTTCTAAGACCTTTGCAGGTGGGGGGTAGTGTGTGTGTGTGTGTGTGTGTGTGTGTGTGTGTGTGTGTGTGTGTGTGTGTGTGATTGCTGAGTTTGGGCCCACACTTTCTTTCTTTGTGTTCTGGTTTGCTCCTGTATACACTATAAACTCTGACTCTGATGTATTGGCATCCCATACCTTAACATAAGGGCAGAATAACAGACCTGCCTGTTACTCAGCTTGAATTTCCTGAAGTTTAAGTGAAATAAACATTTTCATGTATTAAAAAAAA